AAACTGTGAAAAAAACAAACGGTGAAAAAAACAAACAGTGAAAAAAACAAACAGTGAAAAAAACAAACGGTGAAAAAAACAAACAGTGAAATAAATAAACTGTGAAATAAATAAACTGTGCAATAAATAAACTGTGCAATAAATAAAAACTGAGGAAAGAGTTACGTGATGAAAAAAGGTACGGAATACAAACGGACCTGAATCAATAATCAATAAATAATGAGAATATTCAGAAACATTCGGACTCGGTTGAACAGCGGCTGTGCAGGCTGTTTTTCAAAGAATCACGTGACAGTCACGTGACAGCGGCAGGTATAAAGCACCGTTACCTTACGGAGTGAACATGTAGGTCCAGCTGCTGGATTGCAGGTTTGAGAAGATCGACCAGACCCTCAGCAACAGCGTCCTTATCCGGAGACGTTTCTACCACAGACACAGCAGCCATGACCTCCTCCTTCTTCTTCTTCTTCTTCTTCTTCTTTTATTTTGTTGGTGGATTGCAAGCATCGTTCAGGTGCATACCGCCACCTACTGAGCATAATGTGTGACCTATAGCCTCCTTTCCCTATTTTTAATATTTATATTATGTAACTAAATAAACAACGTTTTTCTAACATCACTTATTTTATCCTTGTCCCCTTCTGTTCCTAATATCTCTTAAACTAATAATTAATCTTTTAAACTCCAAACTTTCTCTGCCTCTTTGACTCTTTCATTCAATCTCTCCTTTCTTCTATATATTGAGAACACACTTCATGTCCCACACCCTCTGTTTCTGCACGTTCCTCACACCTACTGTTGTTGCTTTCCCCATCATATACATTGTATCATTTTGTTATATATATATATATATGCTACCACCCCTCAGCTCTTGTGCCCATCATGATAAAAGTGCTTAGAACATCTTGCTAAGCAGCACATTACCTCTAATCTTACTCCCTCCTTTGACCCATTCCGGTTTGCTTACCGCTCCAACTCAACAGAGGACGCCATCGTCTCATCACTCCACCTGAGCCTCCAACATCTGGAGGAGAAAAACACCCATGTACGAATGCTGTTTGTAGACTTCAGCATTTAACACAATCAATCCACAGCACCTGGTCAACAAACTGGCTACACTAGTCTTCAGCACCACCTTCAAGAACAGGATCCTTGACTTCCTGTCCGTCAGACCACAGTCAAGTGCGGAGGAACACCTCCTTCGTTATCAGTCCAAACGTGGGCGTCCCCCAGGGCTGTGTTCTGAGTCCTCTTCTCTTTACCCTCATGACCTACAGCTGCGTTGCCAAGTCCGAAACCAACCATATAATTAAATATGTGGACAATACCATGGTCGTGGACCTGATTAGCAACAACAAGGATCAGGCATGGGAAGAAGTGGCACACCTTGTGAACTGGTGTGTGGAAAATAACCTGGTTCTGAATGTCAACAAAGCAAAAGTGCTCATTGCTGGCTTCAGGAAAACAAAACCACATCACACTCCGCTGCTCATAAACAACTTAGAGGTGGAGGTGGTGGAGAGCCCCAGGTTCCTGGGAGGGTGCACATAATCAATCAGCTGTCTTGAGTAAGAAACACTGAGTCCAGCATCTGCACGTCCTCCGTGGGCTGAAGAGATCACACCTCCCACCCCATGTCCTCATGAAAGTTTTATCTTCTTCCTGGATTTTTATAAAGCATTTGACATTGTAGCGCATAATTTCATATTTCAGACAAATAGAGCATTTTGGATTCAGTAAGTTTTTCTGTAAAGCTGTTAAAACTGTGTATGCCAACGGTAACCGTTCCATTAGACTAAAAAAATGGGACTTCACCCATATTTGAATTACAGCGAGGCATCCGACAGGGCTGCCCAGCCTCTCATTTATCCACCCTGCGGACACAACTCTTATACAAATAGTCCGTTAAAAGGTGCCTTTATTGCAGGTAGATAAATTACAATTAGTCAATTGGCTGATGATACCACAGTAACAACAACATAGTTTTAGTATCTCAGCTACTTAATGATTATGGGAATTTGCTTAACTACTTTGAGTTCCTGGAAATGTTTGATTTTCCTGTAACCCCAAAATAATTAGTTCTAGTAATGATATTCCCTCTGGTACTCTAACTTTATTAAAGAGTGCTGAGAAACAGCTTGTGTTCCACATTTTGAACCCGCAGTGACTCCAGTTAGTCGTGCTTTTCAGTCAAATCCCAAAATAATAATATTAGGTCATTATTTCAAACAGAGAATACCACTACCCCTTATGTTGTTCATTACTGGACTGGAATTGTAAATGGACTGAACTGGGTCAATGTGTGGAAATTGCCATGTAGATATTTGTTTGTAAACAAAGTGAGAGAAGTGTCTTATAAATTAATTCATAGATATTCCCCTGCCAAGCAGTATGTGTTAAAATTTAAGAAAGATGCATGTATTGCTCTCTGTGTGAACCTGAACCACCTGTTCTGGCTCTGTCACACCACTGCAGCCTCCTGGAGAGAAGTCATCTGGTTTATAACAACAAAGTCCATGCTCAATAATCCAGGTATAAAGTCATCTGGTTTATAACAACAAAGTCCATGCTCAATAATCCAGGTATAAAATCATCTTGTTTATCCACAGAAAGATTGACTCTGTTTCTGTTTAGGTTGGAACAATGTACTGTTGGAGTCAATGATGTCAAAAGCAAAAACAGAAAG